ATTGTGATCCCTGACGGAATAAGTTCGTCATTTGAACGGCGTAAGGCCTTCATGATGTTCAGGGGCATGATATTGACAGTAGCTCCACAATCGACAAAAACTTTAGAAACCGGATATCCCTCGATGTGTGCCGTTACATACAATGGCTTTAAATGGTGAAGCTTGGCCGATGATAAACGAGGGAACAATTCGGCCAAAGCGGCCTTTAGGCTATCATCTCTTGCTGTTGACTTGCCTTCAGCAATCGATATAAAATCAACATGGCCAGGTTCCTCGACAACCACATCTCCATCGAGGAAATTTGGTTGAGCCGTGCTTGATTGAAAATCGGCAGGTAATACATGAACCATACTAATTTCCATATTATCCAGGACGGACGGGCCCATCTGGTCGAGATCCTCCTCGTTCGGTTGGTTAGCGACTACGGACTCAGTTGTCGTCAGAGTCGGACAACGAGATTCTTCCGTCCCTTCAATAATGTCACTCGGCGGAGCTGCTTCGGCCACTTGTTGGCTCTGCGTGACCGCCTCAGGTAAGGTCGAGATTGACAATGAGCTTGGGGTCAAGTCCTGAACCTGCTCCTGGTAGTGTAGCCGAGCATCCCTAGTGTCGAGATAAGCATCCAGACGGGCAATACGGGCGATTTCATCGGTCGTAAGGCCGAAGAGAGAAACCGCCGAAAATACTTCAAAGTGATACCGTAAATACTGAAGGTCCTCTAGCGAGAAAGGAAGGTCAGCGACATCGATATCGGTATACGGGTCAACTTCAAATCCAAAGACACGAGCTTCTCGTATGTGCTGGAACCTTGCTTTCAATCCTGGATCTGAGGTCTTCTGGATGATCCGCTCAGCATCCGGACAAGTCAAGACAAGATCAATGGTGTCCTGACATGCCTTCGGCAAACCATACAAATCGTTGGCCGAATGTTCCTTATGAAATTCTCGCATATATTCCAAAGACTCCCCAAGGAACGGGGGGTGCAAATTCCGTCGAATTTTGACCAAAGGCTCTTGTATAGCTAGCGGGGATAATTTGCTTTCGGCCTTTTGCCTGAAATGTTCAACACGTGCCTTTATTTCCCCTGGTCGAATGAGAAGTTTGATCCGTTTATCAGCTTCTTCAAACATGGTCTCGACGTCTTGATCGACCAGCCGTTTCCCCTGAGCCAACTCTGTCATAATTGGTGGAGGTGGTCGCTTTTCATTAGTGGCAACTGTATCCTTCGGTCGCCACTTAGGGGCCGAAGTTTGTTGGGCTGCTTGTCGGCGAGCCATGCAATCTATCCGTTGATGCCGGCGTTTCTGAGATTTGGACAACGCGGTATAGACGCCCTTCGAAGAATGGTATGTGTACCAACGTTGATCTCTAGGCTCAGGAGGCTTGAAGGTCTTTTGACTCCGTGATGATCCTGAACTGCTAGAATTACGCTTATAGTAATCATCGTCATAAAATGAAGCATCAAAATCAAGGCGCCGCCTGACCGGGGGTGTCTCTTCCATCCGTACTTTAGGACCGAGCCTCCCAAAAACCCCATGATGTTGGTCTTCATTGGCTATCTTTTGCCGAGTTGCGGCCACGGGTTGCGAAGAAGGTTTCTCTTCTGGTTCACTGTCGACCTTCGCTTTACATTTCCTGCACAGAACCGCTGTCCCACTATCTTCATTGGCGTTACACTCCGTCAAAGATTTGACAATAGCGGGCCCCGTTAAGGCCGCAAATGGTTTATTTGAACGCGAATCGGCCATGAACCGTGGCCGAACATTCTGGTTCCGCGGGCGTTGTGTCTCAACCACTTCAGCCTTGCCTTTCCCTTTGTCCTTGGGTAGGTACGCGTCGACCATATTGACTGTTGCCATGGGGAACGGATCAGTATCAACACTCATCCTCTTCTCGGGGAACTTCAGCTTGCCATTATCAATCCAGCTTTGGACGTTATCACGAAATACGACGCAATTGTTTGTCGTGTGTTTGCTCGAATTGTGGTATTTGCAATACACCTTTCCTTTAAGCTCCTCGGCCTTAGGAATGTTATGACCAGGCCGAAGCTTAATGATTCTTGCTGATAACAGTTGGTCAAAAATTGCGTCAGCCTTGGTAATATCAAAAGTATAAACCTTTGACGGTTTCGATGTTCCTTCAGTGGCCGAGCGACTTTTGGCCTCTCTAGAATCAACCTGAGTCAATGCCTTGCAAATGTATGGTTTATCTATTACTATCTCAGCCGCATCCACACTAACACATTCATCCTCGGTTGATGCATAATTGACAGTAGGGTTATTGTAAATCGTTCCCCGAGTTGGAGTCTTCGAAGTCTTTTCCTCGCGGAGCAAATAATCGTACTGCTCGACATGCTGGGCCAATTCGTACATATCCCGAAAATTTGCCCCCAAGAATTTCTTTTTGTATTCGACGTCAAGACCATTCAAAGCAAGCCTGACAAATTCGACTTCGGGTAAGGGCACTCGGCACCAATTCCTAGCCGATTTAAACCTAGTAAGATAATCCATTGGTGACTCATCAGATGCTTGAGCCATCCGTGCTAATGAAGAAACTGACATCTCCATCCCCGGCCGATAAAATTGCTCGTGGAACTTCTCGACCAACTCCTCCCAGTTTTGGACGGAATTAGGCGGGAGATTGATGTACCAGGCAAATGCCGAGCCGGTCAATGAAAAATTGAACAGCCGTAACTTGTGGAAATCACTATTCACATCTCCACATTGCGCGGTGAAACGAGCCACGTGCTCCAACGAAGACAGGGACGATTCACCAGCAAAAAGACTAAAATCTGGGATCTTGAAGCCCTTCGGGTATCCAAACGTCTCCACGTAAGCTGGGTACGGATGAATAAACTTGGGAAACTTCGGCCCTTTCTTCATAGCCGAGTCGATCATCCGCTGAACTTCAGTCATATCAACAGATGCTGCTTCGACCCTTTGGTCGGTCCCGTCTGACCTACTGTTCGACCCTCCTCCCTTCTCCAAGTTAATTGTTTTGAGCGGGGCAGGAATAGGTTCGGCCGGTACAATCGGTACCGTGTTGTTTTCTGGTAAACAAGGTTGGCGAAGATCGAAAGGCCTGCTGCCACCAACTTGGCTAACCAGCATTTCGAGCAGTTTGGTTTGCCGATCATTGGCACTGAGTATCGCGTTCTGCAGCTTGTCAATGCCTCGACTGAACGTCTGCTCGACTGACCGAGACTGCTCGTCCAGTCGCTTTCGGAGAAACGACCTCGTTGGTGGGTCTGATCCTTCACCACCATCCTCGTCACATTCCTCTATTATCCCTTCATTGAGAACGCATGTGTTTCTGTTGGGGATTTCTAAACCACGGAGTTGACCGCCGAGATTAAGTTCTCTCTCTCGGCGAGTCGCGCTCGTGGACTCAGGTGTACCAACGCTAAGGGGATTCTGCGCCTGTGGCACACTCTGTCCTATGCTCTGACTCGGTAAATCGGCTGTCGACTTTCCCATAGCTGTTTTCTTTTTTACCGATCGTGTTTCAATTGGCATGAACTTCGTAGTTTAGCACTAGGTCCCACTGGGCGTGCCAATTTGTTGACCCTAGAAATTACAAAGCCTACGTGGCGCGCAGGCCGAATATATTCTAAGCTAACTACGTCCTTTCGGTGATTGCGGGGCGTGCCAACTCGTCGGCCGAGGCTCGGCCGAGGAGTAAATTTGATGATGCTGCGTTGGGTCGCGCTACTGACTTCTGCGTCTTGCGATTGCGGCCGAGAAAGGAACGCGTCTCGGCCTCTTGGGTTCTCGAGCCTGAAGACAAGGCTGCTATTTCTTACAAAGTTCACGAACCGAATTCGGCTTACAATGTGCCGAATGTAATAACTGTAACACCTCACCTCGCCGAGAAGGCTAATGAGATGACCTCGACCAACAAGGATTCGAAAACCCTTCTCGACCGAGACTTGGATAGGCAATCGACCGTTCTCGCCGCAGTGCTGTTGATGCCAACGGAAGATACTGCGAGACCGACCGACTCTACGGTGACAGAGCTATCTATGCCGACTTAAGATATCACCGGTTGCTTCCACAGTGCTGTTGATGCCAACGGAAGATGTGTCAGCGAAAAAGGAAAAGAAAAAGATCTCAAGTTGTGAGAGTTTGCGCAGGGCAAATTTGTATTGATTTTTGTGGGGCTTTTCCATTGCTGAATGTCTTGTATTTATAGTAGCAGAACACCGAGCCCGAGTTCTAATCCTATTCGAACTAGGTTTCCCTCTCCGGATTAACGTTACCTCAATCAGTCCTATCTCTGCTAGGACTACGAATCTAGTCCTTAACTGAGCCGGATTCGCCTTCTAGTTTTACTGATCTCGTCGAGGGTCCCTATTGTATTAGGACTCGACTTGCACTCTGATTTAACCGATCTAGGCCTAGAAGCCCATGAGCTGAACGCCCCCATGACTCTCTCGCCGTACGTCTTCCCGGGCCGAAAGTGATACCTCCCTCGGCCCAAACTGTTATTTTGGGCCCAAACAATTACACTGGGGGGTTTTCGATCTGCAGACCCCCAATTTCTTTGGTGATGCATAGCAGTTTTGGCTGGGGAATGAAGTTTATCAATCATGCTCATGCATCTGAGACCATGTTTATTTCCGCTGAGAAAAGTTCAAATGGCAATATATAGGCTAAAGAGAAGGTGCTCATGTGTTCTTTTGCACACTGCGTTTCTTGACGTAACATGGAGTCAATTACAGCAAGTATATGTTGTATGCGTTGGACTCTTGTTTTACAAGTGTATAATATGTTGGTTGTAGTTCATAATTTCACCGAGCTTCCTCTAGCTTTCATTAGCTAAAATTTGCATTACAAGGTAGAGGAAATTGTGGCATGGTAGACGATCAATGCATGGACTATTGTTTCAACAGCAGTTTACTGCATAAATTGTTCGAGTTGTTGCTCTTCCCCCTTGCCGTAAGTTTTTCGCCTTCTATCAGAAAATCTCACTCAAGCAAGTTATTTGTTTATTGGTGGTAGTGAAGAGAATCAGCAAGCGAGGCTTAACCTTCAAGTTATTTATAATGTGCTTGGATAGTTTGTATGAAGTCTGTATAGAGCTATGACAATGTCTGTAAACACTGTATGAAGTCGTGCTGCCTTCCCACCACTTCCTATGTTTCAAGCACTGTCATCAGAGAAAATCTGGGAACCCAAAGGGGAAAAAATGTCCATTGCATCACCTCCCTAATGTTTTCAGCTAAGCATCCAATTACATCATCATCTGCAATGCGAATAGCTGCTTCAATTGCTTCCACAGAGAGTTTGCAAAGGGATTGGTGAATTGCTTCCATAGAGGATCAGTGGCTTTAACATGCGGTGCCCGTTTTGTGAGGACCGTATGATAGAAAATGAACTCCGAGGGCAACTGCAAGGAGAGCCATGTGTTTTACCTTTAGATTGGCCTAAGGATGGCAATTCAAACCGTTAAATCTGATAACCATGGATAAGTGTCCAAATGGAACGGATTTGGGGATGAAAATTCGGTTATATTTCGGATATGGGGAAAAACCAGAAATATTATTCGGTTTTGGTTTTGGATATGGTTATTATAGGGGTCTCCAATTTATATCCATCCCCGAATCTGACCCGAATAATACATGTTATGTTACTATATGTATATGTATTCACTGAAACTCATTACCTTGAGAACTACGAAAGTTGCATTTTGTGAGAAAGTTCAAAAGTTCTGAATCAAAAGCAATGAGAATTCAATGGTGCTTATAGGATAATTCAAACATAAGACATCATCATCAATGTATTTATTATATTGTAGTGACGAAATTAGTATTTATCATATTATAATGTGTCAACTGAACAAATATATTTTTGGTATTAACGAAGATGGATATAACCATTAAACGATGGGAATTCGTTACCCGGTGGGTATGATTATTGATAATACTCGATAATGATTAATTTACGGTTATGGATATGATTAACGGTTATCAATAACCATACCCACCAGGTTTAGGGACGGTAATGAATATTGGTAATTTGGCTCGATTTATTTCGATTTTGATCCGGTTCAGGTTTAGTTATTTTTTACTTAGAAATTGGAGAGAAATGAAGAAAAGAAAATCTAGAGATTTGAGAAGATAGATAACTTGATTTTAAGTTCAACAAATAACAATCAATTCATTAAATTACTTATTAAGAGTTTAACTATTCAATGAAGTGGGAAAAAGATAATCCACAATTGAACATTACAATCATAAAATAAGTACTCCACTAAACAAACAAAAAAAGTGTTTAATTGATAAATACTTCAACTTCAAAAAAATCATTAATTGGTGGAATATGATGATGTTGCATTCGGATTACAATGTGCCCTTGATGGTCGTTTGAATTGAGAGAGCCTATGAGAGGTGGGCCGAATGCCGAATAAGCATATAATTTCAGGGAAGCCCAATTGAGTGCCAAACCGCGAGCGCTCACTTCGTGGGAACAGAAAAAACGAAAAGGAAGGGAGCGCGAGAGACGGACAGAAACGCTTCGCAGTTGGGAGGTGCGAAAATGGAGGCTTACGGCTCTAGCGATGATTGGGATACCATCGGCGATGGAGCTTACGGAATAGTTTTTAAAGCCAAGGTCAATGGCACAGAGGACTTGGTTGCCATCAAGAAAATTGAACCAGACATGGATGGTATCGTTGGGCTGCATCCTGAAATCATTCGCCAGGTTACTCTTGCGGAGGATCAATCCACACCCGCACATCGTGCGTTTTGACAATGCTGTGCCCGTAATCGAGGTGGGGAAGGGATAAACCCACCATGTATCTCATGGTCGAGTACTTCCACAAGACACTCGATCAAGTCGTCAATGAAATTGGATTCTTGAAAGATGATATCCCTCACTTTCTTTACCTGATACTGAGTGGGGTCGACCACTGTCACTCCTCCGTCATTCACCGTGATTTGAAGCCGAAAACATACTGTTTGACGAAAATAATCGGACCCTCAAGATTGCCGATTTTGGCAGTGGTCGCGGCTTCACGGTTGGACCTGAGGGAAGCAATTACTCGCCCGAAGTGATGGCCAGTATCAAATGGAAGGCGCCTGAATTGCCATTACACTGGAAAATACTCAGAGTCCAGTCGATATATGGTCAGATGGCTTTTCCTATTTGAAATTTTTTATCATTTCTCAAAACATTTTTTAAGAACATTTTTTGAAAACAATTTTATTTAAGACTTAAAAACTTGATTGGTATGTGATTTAAAAATTTCAAATCTTACGACTTTAACTAGACAAAATGATCTAAACAGTGGGGGTCGCGGTAGAGGGAGAAAGAGTAGAGATGAGGAAAAAAGAAGAAGAGATGATTGAAGGAAAGAGAAAGAAGAGAGAGGATCGGACGAGATAGAGAGGAAGATGAGTGAGAGAAAGAACCGAAAGGATGAAGAGAGCGAATTGAAGAAGAGACGAAAAAGGTAAAAAAAAAGAGGATAGAGAAAGAAGAAAAGAGAGAGATAGATCTGGAGAGAGAGGGGAGAAGAGAGAAAAGAAATGAGAGAGTTTAAATTTGAAAACTCTAAAAACTCACTTTTTATGTTTTTAGAAAATAGATTATATTTTTTAATTAGTCTTGAGTTCAGTTTTTAAAAATAGTCATACCAAACAAGTTTTTAAGGCCTAAAACTTGAAAATTATTTTTGAGTTTAAAAAGTTAAATTCAAGTAGAGTACCAAACATGTCTTTAATTTTCAGTAAGTCTCACAAGTTCAGGTGTTTGAATGTATTTAAGTAATAATTTACTGTAATATTCTTGCATTATTGCAATTTACTATGACATTCTCGTATTAATTACAGCTCTGATGGCAAGGGGATGAAAGAATTTGGTCTCTGCTACTGATCGGTTTTCTCAGTTGGTCAACATATTCCAGTTAGGTGTTTGGAGTATTTTTCCTTTTGTGGAGAATTGAAAAAAAGATGAAAAGAACATAAATAAATGCGATTATTCTGCAGGTTACTGGAGTCACCGAGGCGCTTGGATGGCCAAGTGACGAGGACTGCAAGTTTGTCATGCAAGAATGTAGTGATTTCACTGTAGACATGGAAATTTCGATGAAATATATGTCCACCAACACATTAAAGTTTCGACACATGCCTCATAAATCGTACACATGGATGTGATTCATCAAAATTAAACGAGTCATCAAGAATAACATATGTCAACACTTATACATCTACACATCTTTTGATGATCGAATAAGAGGAAACTTGTTATCAGAAATTGTAACCCTACAAATTCATTAATACAAATTTATTTTCTGTTGTTATTTGCTACCGGAAATACGTGTTTACAGACACATCCGAGGAATTTCGATTATCTTCTTTGAGAGCCGCTGTTCCTTCTCTGGATTCGGATGGATTGGACCTCCTATCTGTAAGCTTTATTTCTCCTAGTATTTAGTATTTGTCATCATTGCACACTACATAGACCATGCATAGTCATTCAATCAAGTACACATTTTGATGGACAAGGATGGTTTGCCCTTCATTTTCGGTGTCCTTTTGTTTGTGTGGTCACGATTAAGCTATGTCAACATTTTATATCACTATTCATTTTTGTCTTATTATATCTATAAAATAACAATATAAAATGTTGACGTAGCTTAACTGTGACTACACAAAACAGGAGGGCACGGGAAAGGCATCGGAAGTGGAGGGCAGACAATCCTTATCCCATTTTGATGGCATTTTTCACACTTTTGTAGTCTCTGATAAAATGTAGTTCCCTTGTCGCTTTCACTCATGAATATCATGTGTACCATTCATTTCAATATGCCATATTGACGAGGATTTTACAACAGGCTTACGTACTGCTCATGTGTTTAGTCCGTGGTTAAGTATTTAGAAAGAAAGAAGGTCAACTTAGGGTGATGGCCGGCCCAGGCCCAGGGCAGGCAGGACGAACGTTCAGTGTTCAAAAAAATTAGAGGTACCAAAATTATTAGGGCGGTATATTTATATATATTTTTATAAGATTATAAATGTATAAAATTTGGTTCAAATACACATAAATTGAACTAGAAGCGATGGTTTGTCATTTGAAAATAAGAAGGAGGTCTTGGGTTCAAAACACCATGTGTGCTTATTTACTTTCCATTTTTCAATGATTTTTGTTGTCTAAAATTAACAAGAGGTCCTAAGTTCAAAATGCTATGTGCATGTTTATTTTTTTCAATTTTTACAAATTTTTGTTTGGTTATTAATTTATTTTTAGTTACTATCTAGTAGCTATGTGAGTTGTTATTTTTAAATATTCGTTTTAATTCAAGTCTAATCTTCAACAAAGAATAATACGTAGACCAAATTTGCAAATTATATGACGTGTCATCAAAATGTTTAATTTAGTGCCCATTCATTAATAAGACATATCAATTAAAGACTCGAAAACATCATTATTGTTTAGTCCCATATTGACAAGGTTATTAAATAAGAAAAAAAATCTCACGATTTATTCAAAAACACATTCAAAGTTCAGATGGAAAACAAAACTCATCATCTATCTACTTGTAAGCCCGAAGTTTTTTTGTTTCTCTCTCTCAATACAAAATAAATTAGTCTTTCTGTGTTTCTAAATTATGGAGTTTGAAGTGTTTTTCTAAGTATAATTTTTTCGATGTCTTATGTGTGAAAATAAATAATTTTCTTACATGAAGTTTGGGCACTTTTTTTGCCGTCGCCCCGGGCCTCAAATATCTCTGGACCGGCACTGGTGATGATGATGAAGTTGGGCAGACTCTATCTGTATCTCATTTTAGTCTATTGCTCATGTGTGGAATCTTTCCTATAAGACAATATATTTGTATCCTTTTAGCATCTAAATGAGTGCTTTTCCTGAAGGAAAACTACTAGTTCATCTTATCACTTGAATTTGCCATATTTGATTGTTGCTGGTTGTTCTGTGATTACTTTAAATTGTGCATCTCTTTCTCAATTATGCTCCGAGTCTAATAGTTTATTGCTTTGTCGACAATGCAGCAAATGCTCACATATAATCTCGGGAAGAGAATTACAGCAAAAAAAGCTCTGGATCATGCATACTTTAAGAAGCATGAATTTTTCTTTGGATTGACAATGACATGCACTAAGTACAAATACTTACTTCCAGTTTATTCTATTCTTCAAACCGAAAATGAATTACCTGAGTAAAAGGTAACTGGCTTCACTCTCTCAACCGCCCTCATTCTCCCAAAGTTTCCCAGTCCTGTTTCATGAGCATGAGATCTGAAAATGGTGCTTTTACCACCGTCGTTGTCCTAAAAAATGGGCTTTTCTTGTAAAGTTCTTGTGAATGACAGTGAGTGTTAGTTGATATTACTTGAATAACAGTTAGCTTGGTTTTCAAGTTAACTGTGACGCAGATAGTATAGTTGGTCTCAACTTCGTAAGGGTTATGGAGTCTTATTTCATGCAGCTAACTTAAAGCAATTCTGATAAGGATTGAATGCAAAGATGTTTAATCATGATAGGACTCATTCATTATTAAGGCGATAAGGATACACAACTGTTAATAGGTTGGTTGTGTAATCCTAGTGATATATATATGAAGTTATAGTCCCTGCTCCCGTACGTGAAAAACCCTAGAGATACTGAAACCTATTCATACAGTAAGGGAGTTATTGAGTAGTGGGAGTAGAAGACTGACTTGCGTTGCAATTATGGCATTAAACACAAGTAGGTGTTTCTGCAATTAGTTTATGATATGCTTTATAT